AGACAATGCAAGAAAGTTTATAGAGTGGAAGTGATTAGATTATGATAGTCTTAACCTAATCCATGCCTGGTCCACTTGAATGAATAAACTGGGTGGTAACTGTAGGCAGGGTGTGGCTGGAGGAGGTAGATCACAATGCTGTGCCTATAGGATGTATATTTTTCCTTGGTAAGTGGAGCTCCTTTCTCTCTCTGTTTCCTTATTGCCGTTTCCGCTGCTGCTTTCCTCTGCCAAACCCTTCTGCCTCAAATGTTCAGCCTCACCTTGGCCCCAGAGCAATGGACTCGTCGGATTAGGGACTGAGACCTTTGAAATTATGAGTGCCACACAAACTTTTTCTCCTCAAAAGTTTTGTTTACCAGATCTTTTAGTCAAAGTGGTGGAAAATCCAATTAAAATCGTGTCTGTCATTACTTTTGGAAAAATTCTTATTGTTAGGTGTTATTTAGTAAGGAACAGTGCAATGCAAACCAGTAACATAGGGGTTTCTTTAAATGGCCTTTAAGGAATAATCAAGTAACTTGTAGGTGAATTAAAATCATGAGAATAAACAGGTAGAAACAAAGGGGTCCAAATAAGAAATACACCAAGAAGGAAAGATTCATAAGCTAACTCGTGACAGGGTCTACTGGGATCATTATAAAGTTAGGATTTATGGCCGTAGGTTTCTAAATGTATTTCAGAAGGGAAAATGTATTAATAGCACAAGTGCACGAAGATAAAGTTTGCCCAGTCATTGACTCCAGCACCTGCTTTAACATAGAATTGACTTGTACATCAACTCACCCTCTGAATGGGATGCTTATCATGATAGTTCTGGAAAGGATCAACTAGGGTCAAAAACTCCCTGAGCCAATGTGAAGGAAGAGTTAAACATGGGAAATTGGATCCCAGTTTTAATAGCAAACATAAAAAAAAAAACAGTAATAAATTTGGAAGTAGCATTTAGTTTCCTTTGTTATTTTCTGCTCAGAGACTACCCACTCCCTTTCTCTTTTGAGTGTTCTTTGTTTGAGGCTTACTTTCACTCATAATAAAATTCTCTTGCTTAGCTTTTATCATCTGACTCTAAACTTTCCTTTGATGGGACACAAGAACCCAGGCTTATGGCTTCAACTCACCATTTGCCTGTGACAAGGTATTATCACTTCAAATATTTCTTTTGCTTCCTTCTCTTTTCTCTTTCTGGCATTCCAATTACACTTCCATTACCTTTTGAAAACATACCATATTTCAAAGGTATTATGGGTTTTTTTTTTACCCATTCCTTTTTTTTTCTTCACATTTCAGTTTGAAAAATCTCTGGTGACATATTTTCGAGGCCACTTATTATTCTTTCACTATGTCCACTCTACTGATAAGCCCAAACAAGAGTTTCTTTATTTCTATTTCAGTATTTTTTTTTATTTCCAACATTTTCTTTTGATTCTTTCTTGGCTTCCAATTTTATGATTGTATTATCAATCTGTTCTTGATTTTTATTGTACTTTTTCATTTTAGATCTTTGAAGTATGGATAGTAGTTATTTTAAATATTTTGTCTGACAGTTTCAAAATCTTTGTCATATCACCCAGTTCCTAATTTTTTTTTTTTGTATTCTGATCATAATTTTCTTATCTTTTAGCATGCTTTGTAACTTTTTGTTAAGAGTCAGATGTGATGTATCAAGTAACAGAATCTGGAGTAAATAAGTCTGAATTGGAAGCTTTATGATCATCTGGTTAGAAGTTGGTCTGTGATATTTTTCCTATAGGTATATGTGCCATTGACAAATAATTCCTCTAATGTTCTTGTTTTAGTCTTCCTCTTGTCTTTGGGTCTTTCTAAAGAGCTTCTTCTTAAAAAGAATCTGCAACTTACATTTCTATTATCTATTATCCATTGCCTTTGTATTTGATCCCAATTGGAGTGTTTATTAGGTGCATGGCAGAAAAGCTTTCTATGACCTTATAACTATACCTCAGTGTTTAATGAGCCTATGTTCTTAAGATGTGACCTTCACAAGTGGTCTTTAATTTTCTACAATTTTAGTTGTGACATAAAAGTTACTTGGGTTTGATTGTGGGTAAATGCCCCTAGACAGGGTAAATGCCCCTAGACATCTCTAGCATGATATAAGACTTGAGTAAAGTCTTTCCCTTGAAGAGCAGGCCTTGGGTACAGAAAATACTCTGTTTTTTTTTCTTTTTTTTTAATTGTCACTTGGCTCTTCACCATGACAACCAAGTAAGTTTCCTACAGGTAAAACCCATGAAAGATGGAAGCTCACCTGAGACTATATGCCCCTAGAAGTGTCTATTCCATCCTTGGTCTCCAGAATCTTTATCAAAATTATCATTTAGGAGTTTTTTCCAGTTTAATGTTCTAGTGGTTTATGGGTCATGTTGAGACTTTCCACACTAAAACAAAGCTAGCTTAATCTCAGGTAATTCCTCTAATGTTCTTGATATAGTCTTCCTCCATTTGTTCTTCAAGATTATGGGGTGGCAATTTTCCATGTAATTTCCATTCTCTTAGTCATTAGTCAAGTCATTAATTTTCTTTCATTCTTTTTTTTTTTTTTTTTTGGACTAGGGATTGAATTCAAGGGCACTTGACCCCTGAGCCACATCCCCAGCCCTGTTTTGTATTTTATTCAGAGATAGGGTCTCACTGAGTTGCTCAGCATCTCACTTTTACTGAGACTGGCTTTGAACTCCTGCCTCAGCCTCTGGAGCCACTGGAATTACATGTGTGTGCCACCATGCCTGGCTCATTAGTTTTTCCATTTGTTCAACATGTTTTTTTCTTTGTGGTAAAGATGGGTGTGATGCCTTTTAAACTCTTTATATGTTGTAGATAAAACTGGAAGAATCATTATTTTTAAAACTGAAAATATAAATGCCTTCTTTGATTTCTTATCTCCCTCTAACAAACATCTTTATATTTTTATGTTTCAATATCCTTTTCCTAATACAACTTTACAAAGATGATTCATAACTTCATGTTTTTGCAAATGAAGCCCAGACCATCCTAAGAAAAGCAACACTACGCATACCTAATATACAAACAGAAATATAAAAAATTGTGGTATATATGTGTATTAAGAATTGTAATGCAAAAAAAGAGCACATGTATAATAGCATAAATTGGCGTGAACATACTTTATATACAGAGATATGAAAAATTGTGCTCTATATGTGTAATAAGGATTGTAATGCGAAAAAGAATCTCAACTAGGCCAAAAACAAGAGAATCTAGGATTAGGAAAGAAAAGCACAGGGACCAAATCAATGCTTTTCCTTCTTCTGTTTATCTAATAAATGCATTTATTGTTAAAAAAAAAAGAAAGAAAGAAAAAGAAATTAGGATACCTTGAAAAAAAAATGAAAGAAAAGTGACACTACCCAGTGAGGCTTTGAGGATACATGCTTACATGCTAAGAGAAAGCTCAAAAACAGACTTGCTACACTTTGAATACCTGCACGCCTGCATTTGGACGCGTCCCAAAGTTGAGAGACTTCAGAAAGTAGAGTCAAAGTACAACAGATATGCCTCACAGAACCCCATGTTTGCAATAACTATGCTTTCTGAATAAAGCATTTGAGCATATGGCAAAATGATTAGCAGTGAGTGTGCTTCCTCAGCATCCAGAAGCTCATGTTTCTACATCAGTGTGTGATCACTCTGGTAGTAACAGAAGTATTGGATGAATGGTTGAAACAATAACAAACAAGCTATATTAAACCATTTAAATTAAAAATAAGGGCAAAGAAAATACATCTGCAGGCTCCATGCAAGATAATAATCACTCATTTTTCTCATTTTTTATGTGACATGCAGAAGGATGCTTTATATGTTTATTTGATTCCTTCTATGTGGGCTCAATAAAATAAAGTACTAAAGGATTATGTTTTCAGCAGAAAAATAAGGTTTTTATCTTATGCTATATGCACATAAATTTGCAGATGAGGTAAATTTCTCCTGTGTGTAGAAAAGCTTAAATAGAGTGTCATCCTGAAGTATTTGCTTGCATGACAGACCAATTTCAATAGCTGTTATTGTAAACTTGTTATCACATCCTTCATATCTCCTGGAGGTACTTCAATGTAGATGTCAGGAACAAGAACAGTGTTCTAGGAAAATAATTATATAATATAATAATTAGAATTAAATTATTAATTATGTTTGATCTGTTAATTCTGCTTTAAAATTTATTCTTTGATGCTAACATAAAATACAAATCAATATTTATGTGAAAATGTTTGTTACCTACAGAGGATATAAGCAAAAAGGGTATAAATGAAAAGAAAATAAAAGTAGATAGAGCTATGAAATATTATAATAATTATATATAATTTGATGCAGATGTTAAAACAATGTGTGAAAAGAACAGTACAAGAAAATCATCATTATCACCTAAAAAAATGAAAATGTGTTTGTGGCAATCTAGAACATTATGCTCAGAAATTACAATACTTAAAGACCATTATTTCTGGAATCACTGGCATCTTTTATTCTCTTGTCTATATTTTCTCTCATGAAACATGCAGAACCTTCAGAAAACTACATTAAGTATCAATTCTGGTATATTTTCTAAAAAGTTTCATAAGCTTGAGATATTTCCTATTATGTTTTAATTTGCCAAAATTAACAATTATATTATTAATTAACTGAAATTCCTTTTTATGCAAATGTAAAACTAAACAGTTGTTTGACTGTCATCCAGAGGAAAAGCCACAATTTGGGAATCAGTTGCAGGAACCACACCCCAGCAGAGCTACAGAAATGCACAATGAGAGGCATCATGAAACAAAGGCTTTTAGCTGGATGATGCTGGAGCTGACACTGTGGGAAAAAAAACACCTGCCTCTCTAACCTGGGAGCTCATGGTGTGGATTCTGTCCCCTTCTGTGTTTTTTGTTTTTGTTTTTGCTATTGAAGTTTATTTAACAAAAAGTTCAATATGAAAATGTACATGACCCAATTTTCAAGTCATAGTTAAAAACAGGGCTTCTGGAAGGAGGACACGGATTTCTCTGCTGAACAGCCATTATTTATACTTGTTCTAAGGCTTCTAACATTATGATATTGTTTCCTGGTATTACCACCATTCCAATATTGTTCTGTTGTCCACTAGTTGCCATCTCCACACATTCATCTATTACAAGATTCATGAAGGGATCAAATCCCCTCAATATTCCTTGGACATGTCTTCCACAATTTAATTTCAATGATAACTTCTTGTTCATAAATTTTTTCAGCTCGGGAGGGTGAGCTTTGCTCATATTGTCTACTCTGCAGGCTCAGAGATCCCCTTCTGTGTTTTATGGGGAAGAAGCTGGCATATGTGCACCAAGGCCCTTTCTCTGTGTCATTTTGGTGAACTTCACGAAAGTGACACTACTAGGAAGAAATGGTAGACCAGGATGTCTGTATGTAAAATGGTACAGTCAGAACTCAGCGAAGTACAAATGCAGCTATTGCAAGAGAAAAACCAAGCAGCTCAGTTTCACAGGGAAAGAAGTCAGTGGTGGCAAGGGTACAAACAAATAGAAGTGATGAGACTCTAATTTTTCTGCACCGGGGGAGTAAAAGGCATATGGTAAGGTAATTCAGCAGTTGTCCTCACGAGGGACTGTGCTGCACCTGTTTTATCTCCCAGATTCTATTCTCAGTGACTGAGAGCACTGTAGCCACTGACTCACTGTCATGCTCATTCCCCCTTTTCCTAGGGAATTCTACCCTTGTGGACAGATTTTCCAGTTGAAGTTAGCTGAATTTTACCCTCCCCTCAGGGATGCTGTTTATATTTTCCACATGTTCATATATATTTAATAGTGATGCATAATGCTATGCAATATTCCATCAGGTTGATGGAACATACTTTATATTTTTATTATCCCAGTGTTGAACATTTATACTCTTTTTCTATATTTCATCTTTAGAAATGGGAACTGCTACAAACATCCTACACTGTTTTCTTTCTGTTTCTATTTGTTAAGCTCTTAGGAGTAGAGATTCAAAAATTTCTCTTAATTTCCATTTGTAAATTAATCTTCAAAATGCTTCTAACAACCCATAAAGATATGAGCATAATGAGTCCTCCTATTTAATCTCAACCATAATAACTTTGGGTTTTTGTCTAAATTTTGGCTAATTTTATACATGTCAAATGATGCCTCAATATTACTTTAATTTGGTATTTAGTAGCTTACATTTTTTTTTCATTTCCCACTTGAATTGCTATTTTGTATCCCTTTCACATTTAACTATTGGGATTTCATGATTTACTCTATATTTGAATAGGTTCTTTACATGTTTAGTTATAGACCTTTTTATTTGGCCCGATTGTAATTTTATGTATTATTTTCTTTTTAGTTTCTTTGTGTTTTCTTTTTCATTTCATATAAGAGGCATTTCTATTTTATTATTGAATATCTACATCCATGTAGACTTAAGTTTAACCATAAGTCTTTCCATTTACTTAGGAAAGCAAATGGAAGTTTGACTTCTCCCCCTACCTGATGGCTGTGAAACAATTATCATTCCTTTACCACCTCCCCTTTCACTAAACTTTCCTGTAGACCCTTTATTTATAATTTTATTACAAAATTATATTGTAGATCCTTTATTGCAAATAATTACTGAGCTTTTAATACGAACCAGAAGCATCTTGCAGACATTGAGATAAACCATGTATGAACAAATTTGTTTCCCTCATGAGGCAACAAGAAAATAAAGTAGCTAATAAGTTAAATCAGGAGTGCTGCTATGAGAGGTATGGACCACTAATGGAGACAGAATATGCTAAATGGGTAGTTTTCAGGTTTCATATACAAGTATATTGAAAGGTTGTGGAGAATAAAGCCTTAGTAACACCAGATTTCTAGAAATGTCATGATTAACTCTTATGAATAAGGCCATTCTATGCAAGTATTTTGTTTTATATTGTTATCAAAACTGTGCTGGAGCTACACTCCTCCAAACATACATGCTACCTTTGTCTATTACTGTGTGGTGCATACCATCATTAATTTTCATGAATAAGGGACTGATCATAAGCTCACATATTTTATGAGTTTATTAATATTTCAGAGAGAAATCACTTCAACAAATGTCTGGGGTCTTCCACTGCCTTCTCTGTTTTATTCCCCCAATATCTTCTCCTATATGCTCCAGGGAAATGATTCTGACAGTTTCATTTTTTATATCTCACAAAATATTTCTGTTGAGGTCTTGAAGGTTGAATATGGCATTTCAAATAAAAACTTTAGTATATAGAAAAGTTGAAAGTGTAGTACAATGAACAGCCATGTAACCTTGTCAGTATTTTTCTATGCATGTATATGTTTATATGTATACATGTATGATCTGTCTATGCACCTTTTTCAACTTATCATCTACCTAATATCTATCATCTGCCAACTATCCATTTATATATAATGCATTGATCTGCCTATCAATCATCTTATACTTATGCACTTATCTGTCCATCTATCATCTATCAATTTGTCCTATCAGTTATCTATCAATTATCCATCTATTGATCACCTATCCACTATACATCCATCACATAGTTATCCATATTATTTTGTCAAATCATTTAAAAGTAAATTGTAGATATCATGATACTTCACCCTTAATACTTCAGCACATGTATCTAAAAATATGTTACCTTGTAAAATCCAAAGTACTCACAATATAGCAGGTCGTCATTATTTAAGAAATATCATATTGTTCATTTTTAACTTTTTAATTGCTCTCTAAATTTTCAGTTGTCCCATAATTTGTTAGACTGCTTTTAAGATTTTCTATTTACTATTGGTTTACAGCAATTTGATTATAATGTGATGCTTAAGTTTCTTTGGCCTCATTGGCTCTGTGGATTTATATTTTTCATAATATTGAAAGTGATTTTTATATTGATGATTTTTATATTGATGCTACAAAAATAGAATGTGGCTGATGTGTGTGTGTGTGTGTGTGTGCACCTGCGTATATGTGCATGTGCATGTGTATGTATGTATAAATTATTGAAAAGCTATGGGATAATCATAGAAGTGTGAAAAAAGCAGCAAAATCCCTGGCATGTCACAGAACTCTTACTTCCAACGTCACATGTAGCAGACTGAATCACTGTTCCAGGCCACTTGAACTGCATGCTGTCCCCATTACCCCTACAGGTTTTTGGATGGTAAGGTACCACATCAAATTAATTCAAAGACACATGACTATATTCTAGCTGCAAAAGTTATGGAAAAATTATTTCACCCTTTTATCTTATATATTGAAAAAAATCTTTGCCTGCAAGCAATAAGTATCACTGAAACATTTTATGTGTAGAATGAGGACAATTTATTATCTCAGCTATTTGAATATGAACACTCTGGCTAAGACTACATTTCCAGCATTCCTTGCCCCATATGATATTGACACTTGTGAATTGCTCCATGAAATATTTGCTCTTATTTATACTCTAATTGAGACTATGTTCATACCTACTTTTATCTTATGACTTGTTCTTTCTCCAATAACATAAACAAATCAGAATGCTATACTTCTATGCTACTTGTAAACTATATTAGGAATCAAGTTTCTGTTGTTCTTGAGTCAATCTTCCCCTAGACTGTGTTCTTATTGATGAAATAAAGATGCTAGATTCAGTGTTATTAGTATCATTTTGAACTTTCTTTCATGTAATTTTTAAAAATTTATACATGACAGCAGAATGCATTACAATTCTTATTACATATATAGAACACAATTTTTCATATCTCTGGTTGTATACATAGTATATTCACACCAATTTGTGTCTTCATACATGTACTTTGGATAGTAATGATCATCACATTCCACCATCATTAATTACTCCATGCCTCCTCCCTTACCCTTCAACTCCTCTGCCCTAATTAGAGTTCATCTATTCTTCCCATGCTCCTGCTCCTTATGCCACTATGAATCAGCCTCCTTATATCAAAGAAAATGTTTTGGCATTTGTTTTTTTTTTTATGATTGGCTATCTTAACTTAGCATTATGTTCTCTAACTCCATCCATTTACTTACAAATGCCATGATTTAATTCTCTTTTATTGCTGAGTAATATTCCATTGTGTATATATGCCACATTTTTTTTTATCCATTCATCTATTGAAGGGCATCTAGGTTGGTTCCACAGTTTAGGTATTGTGAATTGCTATAAACACTGATGTGGTTATGTCCCTGTAGTAGGCTGTTTTTAAGTCCTTTGGATATAAACCAAGGAGAGGAACAGCTGGGTCAAATGGTGGTTCCGTTCTTGAAATATTTTATCAAAATGTTACAGTGATAGCTCTGATACTAAAAACTATCCCATTTTACATGATCCCATGGTTTTGTGCAATTATATTTTTCATAAAATATCAATTTTTTTTAAAAAATCAATATTATATCTTTATATAAGATAAAATTTAATGTCTTAAACTGAATTAAGATTAATTTTAGATTAATATTAAATTACATGCTATGTTCTATATTTCTTATAAAAATAATAACAACTCTTGACAACACTGTTATTGTGACTTTTCGTAGCATATCCTGGTAAGTCAAAGATAGTTACTGAAAGTACAGTTGTATAAATCCTAATCGATTTGCAAAGTATTTCTCATCTAGCTAGATTTAGAAGTAAGAGCAGATATTCATTTTTAACTTGAATTGTTCTTTTTAGTAATAAGCATTGTCAAAGTTTTGTGAATATCCCCAAGAATCAACATGATTATTTGGACATGTGTGACTAAAACCTACTCTGGCTTAGAAATTTCTTTCTAAATTATAGCTTTCCATGGAAAGCCGTGGACGAGAAAAGTATCGTGTTTCTGGTTACATTTCCATGAATTTTTGAGTTGTTATTCTTCAGTTTCACATAAAGGAATTTCATAAAATCAAACTGCATCTCCATCACAGCTTAATAAATATTTTAAAAGGAAAACTTACTTCAAAATATGCCAGAATCAAAAAGAGGAATTGGGGGGGGTAAGAAAATTTGACATCTAAATCAGGACCTTCAAAAGCTGCATAGTCTCACCTGTAAGTAGAACCTAAAGAAGTTGATCTCATAGTAATAAATAATAGAACAATGGTTAAGGGGAGGGGATGTGGTGGATGGACAGAAGATGGTTAATGGTTATATGGGTGCAGTTAGAAGAAATAACTCCTAATGGTCCATGAGTTAAGTATAGTTTACAAAAATTAACCACATATTTCAAAATAACTAGTAGAAAAGATTTTTAATATTTCCAACACCAGGAAATTATGAATG